TTGAACAGGTTTGAGGAGAACATTTTTGCCAGCTCTTTATCCCTGGCTCCCTTGATAATTTTCCTTGTTTAAGGTGGGAGGACTAGGAGCTCATATTCAATCGCTGAAAGAGGTTGTGCTGTTCCCAATGTTGTATCCGGAAATATTCAAGCAGTTTAATATAATGCCTCCCAAAGGAGTTGTTTTCTATGGACCACCAGGTATCTGTTACAGTTATTTTATTCAAAGATTTTTATGTGCTTCTTGGTTTTCAATTTCGGCTCTTCTTATCTTCTTTACCACGCTGTTCAAAATTCAAGCTCGATTTGGCGCAGCTTAGCCTCCACAAGATTCCTCTTAATGGCTCGACACGACGATGGAGTGTAGCGAAACTCCCAACATCCCTAATAGCGCCGCTCGACTTCTCTTGAAAGTTCCTCTGTAGTGAATTCTCTAGAATGTTTGCTTCCAGGGATACTTTCACTTTTTACTAAATATTCCTTCATATGACGCGGTAGAACGCCAGAGATGAATTCACTGGCTCGTTCTCGATGTATATACGCCGGATCTGGCCGTGACGTTCAAATTGAGAAACATTAAACAGACAAAGCGGAGTTTGGGACCACGTATTTTTGACCCTAGCTGCAGGTCTTTTCACCGGCTTTCGTGCTTGGCTGTCAATCAAACTACCCCGATGAGATGGTTGAAACCAAATCTGCTCACGGCGAACTTTTGAGATTGGCCTATAATTTTTTTTTACAAATTCGAACCATCGAAAGATCGAATATTGACCTATTTTAACATAGTTTTTTTTTCTATCGAGGTGATGTCGACACAGAGGTTGTGCCTACATGGATGCAAATCATTTTCTGCTTTAGGAACGGGAAAAACTTTGATGGCTCGTGCACTGGCCAATGAATGCTCCAGAGGGGGCAAAAAGGTTAGTATTAGTTTGAGACTCTCTTTTCCTGCTCTTCTTCTGTTTCCTTTTGTTCGTTTACGGGGTAAAGCACCGTTTCCGGCTCTGTTCATTTTGGAGGGGGCATTTTGCTCTTTCGTTAATTCTTTTGTTAGTTCATGTTAACTTCCAGGTTTCATTTTGGTTAGACCTGTAAGCTTTCGTGGTTCACAGGTCCTCCCATGATGGCCTACACGCTTAGCTGGGCACCATTGATGCCTCCACCAAAGAGACTTTTACCGAATTGAATCTTTTGGTTCAGGTGGCGTTTTTCATGAGGAAAGGTGCGGACTGTTTGAGCAAGTGGGTAGGTGAAGCTGAAAGGCAACTGCGGTCAGTACTAACAATTGTCTTTTTTTCAAATTTTCTAGTGCTTATTTCTTTTTTTTTCGGAAGTTCGTGCTCCTTTCGATGCTGTTGGACAGGTACACAAGCAAGGGTCTTTTAAGGGTGCTCTTCGACCAAGCATATGCTATGCGCCCCTCTATAATTTTCTTCGACGAAATTGATGGTCTTGCACCAGTTCGATCATCAAAACAAGACCAAATCCACTCCAGCATTGTAAGCACGCTGTTAGCTCTCATGGATGGATTGGATAATCGCGCGAGAGACGCTTTCTTGCTGGACGTCACCACTCTCATTTTGGATTGGAAATGGGCTTTTCGTCGGCCGCCATGTCAACTTTGACCTGGTGCTGCAAGGTCCTTGCAAGTGTTGAAAAACATGATTTCTACTTAGATAAGATGCCCAATAGAGTGCAGAAACTTGTCCACACGTATATCTCCACCTTTTGGCCCAAACACCACATTTTTTTCAGTCAGTCGGTCAGCTTTTCTCCAGATTAAGATTTTGTCAAGGCGTGTTTACTGAGCACATACAGTCTTGCTCGCTGCGGATGATGGGGCGATCTAGAGAAGCTGGGATTTGCGCGGCACCAAAAACTTTCTCCACCAATTTGTGAAGGAAGCAAGCAGAAAGATGGCATCATATTGCTTGTACCAGAGTTTTCATGAACTGGTGTCGTTTGTCCGCCTCAACAACGCCAATCCCACTCTGAATGACACGCCCCATTATCCGCTGCGAACAAAGCTGTCAATAAAATAATGTGTAAATAGGCAAGTACTAGTAGCAAAGAAAACTTCTGATCGACTCTCTTACCTTGCATTTGCGTCGGGAAGAGAAAACTTCAGTTCCCTATCAAATCGTCCTGGACGTCGCAGAGCTGGATCTAACGTGTCCAGACGATTGGTGGCGCCAATGACGACGACCTAGAAACCCCCTTTGAAGATAATCAGCTGGCGAGAGACTCCTCATAAACTTAAGTTACCTCTCCGCGATTATCCAATCCATCCATGAGAGCTAACAGCGTGCTTACAATGCTGGAGTGGTATTTGGTCTTGTTTTGATGATCGAACTGGTGCAAGACCATCAATTTCGTCGAAGAAAATTATAGAGGGGCGCATAGCATATGCTTGGTCGAAGAGCACCCTTAAAAGACCCTTGCTTGTGTACCTGTCCAACAGCATCGAAAGGAGCACGAACTTCCGAAAAAAAAAAATAAGCACTAGAAAATTTGAAAAAAAAGACAATTGTTAGTACTGACCGCAGTTGCCTTTCAGCTTCACCTACCCACTTGCTCAAACAGTCCGCACCTTTCCTCATGAAAAACGCCACCTGAACCAAAAGATTCAATTCGGTAAAAGTCTCTTTGGTGGAGGCATCAATGGTGCCCAGCTAAGCGTGTAGGCCATCATGGGAGGACCTGTGAACCACGAAAGCTTACAGGTCTAACCAAAATGAAACCTGGAAGTTAACATGAACTAACAAAAGAATTAACGAAAGAGCAAAATGCCCCCTCCAAAATGAACAGAGCCGGAAACGGTGCTTTACCCCGTAAACGAACAAAAGGAAACAGAAGAAGAGCAGGAAAAGAGAGTCTCAAACTAATACTAACCTTTTTGCCCCCTCTGGAGCATTCATTGGCCAGTGCACGAGCCATCAAAGTTTTTCCCGTTCCTAAAGCAGAAAATGATTTGCATCCATGTAGGCACAACCTCTGTGTCGACATTACCTCGACAGCAAAAAATAAAACTATGACAAAATAAGTCAATATTCAATCTTTTAAGGTTTGAATTGCAAAATTACAGCCAGATTCCCATGAAAATGTTTCCCGGTTGAGCAGATTCTGATCAACCAGTCTCATCGGGGTAGTTTATGACAGCCAAGCCACGACAAGCCGGTGAAAAGACCTGCAGCGTTAGGGTCAAAAATTACAGTAATTATAATGGTCAATTGATACATCACGGCCGATCCGTATTATAACATCGAACGAGGCCAGTGGAAGGCGTTCATACCGCGTCATATGAAGGAATATTTAGGTAAAAGAAGTGAAAGTATCCCTGGAAGCAAACATTCTAGAGAATTCACTACAGAGGAACTTTCAAGAGAAGTCGAGCGGCGCTATTAGGGATGTTGGGAGTTTCGCTACACTCCATCGTCGTGTCGAGCCATTAAGAGGAATCTTGTGGAGGCTAAGCTGCGCCAAATCGAGCTTGAATTTTGAACAGCGTGGTAAAGAAGATAAGAAGAGCCGAAATTGAAAACCAAGAAGCACATAAAAATCTTTGAATAAAATAACTGTAACAGATACCTGGTGGTCCATAGAAAACAACTCCTTTGGGAGGCATTATATTAAACTGCTTGAATATTTCCGGATACAACATTGGGAACAGCACAACCTCTTTCAGCGATTGAATATGAGCTCCTAGTCCTCCCACCTTAAACAAGGAAAATTATCAAGGGAGCCAGGGATAAAGAGCTGGCAAAAATGTTCTCCTCAAACCTGTTCAAACCCTATGCCTCTGTCAATGCTCATCGGGTCTATGTCCGTACATGATCCACCTGTTTGGCGCAGACGTTCTCGTATTACCGCTTGGCTTGCCGTTAAATCTTTAGCTGAAAATATATGCCATCAGAGCTATAACCCTTGAAATTCATAAGGCAGCTAATCTTTCTGCTGGACAAGAAATATGCTTACCATTGAGGTTGATGGGCATATAGCGATCACGGGCTTTCGCTAGGCTTCTCTCTTTCCGTCGTTCAAATCGTAGATCATCATTGCGAGTTCTGATTCGATCATCACTGCTATCACTGGACGAAGTGGAAGAAGAGTCACTGCGGTCACGTCGGCGCCTTCAAAAGAGCTGTTTTAGATATGGACAAAACGAATAGGTATTAATTCAATGAAACTTTTTTAAGTGTTAGTGAAACAAAAGAACAGTCGGAGGCAGTGGAGTGGCAAATGGGACGCTTATCTATCTACGCGCGATCCGAAGAATAAACTCCGGATCGACTCTCGTCTAGGACAACCAAGCCTTCCACCTTCTGAGGACGGCAAAGTGCTAGCATATTCGTCAGGGAGGACAAATCCACTGATATGTGCATCGGCTGACCCCCCCCCCCCCGAAGGTCAGTGTATAGACCACAACGCATTCAATAAGCCACTAACATTAGGATTGGAAGGGCATGCGTGCCGCACCTCGAGAAAAGGATTGGTCAACATCGGAGACTTCATCTTTATCCTTAACAGAAAAGTAGAGATAAAGCTCTCCTCGGCAACAATCATTCTTCGAGATACGCCATGCACTCTACCTCTATTCAGAATCATAGTGGCTTACAGCGTGCGACAAGGCCCACAAAATGACTTGTAAGGTTCAGCCTATGGACAAATGAGCGTTTCTGTCCTCCCACATGAGTCTGACGCCCCGAGAGATAGATGCCCCGGACGAGAGCAGATCCAAGATTCAGCTCCCAGACTGCGCGCGAGGTAAGCTGCGTTTATTGCTACCCAGATAGACCCGAATGTGACGGAACAAAAAAAAATAACAATATTAAGAGAAAGGATATCCGTTATTGAACCACGTTTATCGCTTTGCGTTATCTGCTTCGAGCCACGTTTCGCTTTGCGTTCTCTTCGATCCGTAGAACGACCCCGTCTCCTCTCGTTTCTATCATCTCTGAATTGAGCACATGTAAGCTAGAAAATGGATAACACGCTTAAACCTTTGGGCGCTATACCACTGGAGTGGACAATTTGTCAGACAATGTGCTCAGGACTCTAGGGCCCACGACTTTGGCACTGAAATGTTGACTTTACCAGCCAGGATTCCTTTGTCCTAGTTCTGGGCAAATATCATACTCTGCCGTGGCTCACAGCACATGAGCTGTTTAAGTCTGCTTATTGCCACTCCGTAGCTTCACAAAACCTTACAATTTTCCAAATCAATGGGGATCAGCAACCCCCCTCCCCCCACGATGAATAGGGCCTTTCACACATTGCACCACTGAAGGCCCCACATTGCTGAAACAGCGCCAAATTTGGAACAAATACATCACTAATCAGCACCTATGGCTTTCTTTTAATGTCACCGTAGCTGCGAATCGATCAACCGGCTGTCGGATTTTCCTTAACGAATACTGGCGAGGTTCGGGAGTCTTTTCTTCATCGTCCTCGTCAGTCTGGAATAAATACGCATTGTACTTTAATTGAACACATTAAAGAGACACCATACGACGCGTTCATACTTCGCGATTTGATCGCTTGGATCGCACGATCAGGTCACTCTAGCGAGAGGGATTACATGTAGATAAAGCGATCCAAGCGATCGGTTCGCAAAGCATGAACGCGCGTCACGACAGTTTGATAAGGGGATCATCCCGTGAGTGAGATTCGCAGGCCCTCTATCGTAGAGCTGTAGTCTCTCTGCTGTTCAAAAGACCGCGGCAGTGTGCCTAAAGGCTTGTTATAGCTTGACGTTCATTCTATCCCAATTATCGATGAATACGCCACAACCGCGCCATACGGCCAGCTACACGGGCGAGGGCGCAAGCAAGTAGCGTTTATGTTCATGGTTGCGAGCAGAGAGATGAAAAGAACATCAGGCTAAAACAATCGTTAGCCACACCGCCGCGCACTTTCGAATGGCGACAGGCCACGCCTCGAGTCACCGGACATGCTCATTTTGCCAGGAACAAGATCCACCTCTCATCTAATCGCGGTGTGACTTCGATGAAAATAACGACCCGAACCTCTTCGCTAGACTGGCTTCCTTCCACTTCACCATTAGGTTCGTCCTTCACGACATCACCAGTCGAAATCCTTTCTCTATTTGCATGGCGCAAGCTCCGAGCAGTCTCACTAGCCCTCTTGGGGTGATTCCCATTAATAGAAGTTGGAGAGGTAAGAAGAGGCGTAGGACTAAAAACTATCAGATCAGGAAAACGGGCATTATGATGAAGCTAAGCTACTCACGTGACAGTTTTCCTTTCTCTTTTGATTGTGTCGTACATATTGGCACTCTCAATATCGTACTGGCCCGGATCTCCTGGTGGACACTGTTCTTTCTGCAAAATGGACTAAACCAATTCAATTCGATTTTTCAGCATCCACCTTCCTCTAAGCACTGAGGAATATTACCTCGTGACTTTCTTCATCTTCTCTGACATCACGTCTTCTCAAGGGACCACGTTTAGGGCTAGGTGATCGCACGTTTTCATCAACGTACTCTTCTTTCACATACCTGGAAACTGCCGCTAAACTGAGAAACGATCAGACCTCAAGGAATTTCTCTTTACCTTCTTCGCCTTCTTTTTTCGTACTCACGCTCATCTGATGAATCACTTTCCTCATAGTGTATACTTCCTGCGATTCTCCGTCCTGAGCGCGTATAGCCAGCGGCAGGCTGTGCTTGAATGAGCTCCTGAAGGAAGAGATCACAGGGAATCACGATTAAGTTACGTTAGTATCAAGACGATCCCCCGTAATACTGGGCGACTATGGATACTGTCCGCAGACCCCACAAAGAGCTCACTTAAGGCAGGCGCCATACTTTGAATCAAATATCTATCACGCGTCTTTCCCATTTATCTCCATTCGTCCCTCAATCCGTTCCCCACTTTCCTCTCTGTAAATGCTGCGTCAGAAGACTGGGAAGAGCATATCATGCGACAAAAGCCCTGGATCCCAAAAGGATGGGACATCCTGGGGCCACTGTGCGTTCCCAACTGAGTGCAGCAATTAATTAGGGGACACGAGTCGCTTCGTGAAGCAGCTAAAACGAAGAATGCCTCCCCTTCGCCGAAGTTCGCCATTTCTCCAAAACATTATTATGTTGTCTTCAGACACAATAGCTTAAAAAACAGTCCTGCTCGTTGCTTATGTGGACGCATTGAAGGGTATGGATCTGGCGCGACGCCAAATCTGTTTTCCATTAATTATCGTCGCTTACCCACTTCAGCAGCTGCGAGAGAACGGAGTAAGCGCTGCACCATGCTCACTCCACCCAACACGCCCTTCATCCGCAACAAACAAGAATGCAGTAAAATATTTGGTAGATTTTTAAGAGTTCACCAAAAGACCCGGTACACCGGGCTAGAAAAAAACCAATCATTGTAACATTAAACAAGCAAACCTTGTGGAAGTTGTGCCGTTGCTGTACGTATAATACTTTTCATGAAACTTCCACGTAAATGGCGTTCAGCGAGATCATTCTCGGCTAAGCTGCGATAAACCATCGACCGCTCACGACTTGAACGACGGAGATCTTTTTGTGGAGAGAGACCATTTGCGCCTTTACCATCACTTTTAATATTTGAAAATTGCGAAAAAAAGGGCAAATGTTAAGAGCGTGTTTTTATGTTTGACACGACTAGCAACCAATCTTAACTGAATAAATTGTTAGGAAAAAGAGCAAAAATGCCTTGAATCCATCTCAGCAAGTAACGAAACAAGTAAAGGGACAGCGTAAATGAAACTTCAATTCAAATTTCAACAGAAGTAACGCCTCAGTTAACAAGCATAGATTAATTAAGGGACGCCACAAAACGCTACACAAAGGCCAACGTAGTGTTCCAAAGCACGAATTCAAAATGGTGGAGCATCAAAACCATAGAAAAACTAAGAGAACATCCAAACAAAACAATCCCGAAATTGCACGAGGCCACCCCAGTGAACAATCGACCGAGCGTCCCGCGCCCAACAAGCCGCACGTGAGGCGGCGTCTGCCGCGCGCGACCGTCGCGATCGAATTCCGAAACGTCGCGCGCCATAATCGACGTCGATTAAATTGTTTGCGTGCACACTACGTCCCTCACGAGTGATTCACGCCTAATCGATTGCTCCAGCGCGCGAATTTGAATCAGGACACATCGTGCGCTGGGGGTTTTGGAAGGATTCGTATGGCTCCATAGAAAATCCGTAGGTACGGTCGCCCCTTTTACGATTTGTTATTTTTCGCATTTTTTGCATTAGTATTCCAGCTTCCACGTAAAGCCACACGGTCCAGACCCAAAACAGATGGAAATGACGAGATCTACATTAGGAATCCTCAGCACTCCGGACACTTTCAAATGCCACTAGAGATGTTCTAGTAGAGTATATAGGCTACTACACAGGATGTTGTGCTCTAGCCCACATACTGTCCTTCTCGATTTCACGCATACGGTAAAAAAGTACAAGTGGTGGCCGAGCTATTTAAACACTGAGTAGGCTCCTTTGTTTAAATGCGTTGGCACATTGCACATTTGCTGAGACTCCTTTGAGTGAAGCAACTCGGCTTTAAAGAGCAACAACTTCCTTGAATTCAGGCCGTTGGAGACAATCAAAAAGAGTTGAATTCGAGCTTCCCGAAAATTTCTTAAGTTTTCAAAAAAGCCCTCTGATTCAAAGAGATACTCAGTAGATACTCAGTATTGTGGATTTTCGAATCTGGATGCGAGTTTTTTTTTTATTCAAACAACAGTAAATTTTTTTTCCAACGCAACAGTGTGCTAGCTTCATTACTGTTTTGAATGGAAGATTTCCTCTTTCCGAAGACCACGCCACTAAACTTCTTTTGGGGATTGATAGGGGAATGCTCCAGCAGCGCGAAAAGCTCGTTCCCTGGGTACCATTTCAAGCGGGCGTTTTCAAACACTTAGGAGCGCATTTGGAACGGATCTCGTCGTGGAACAGAACTAGGAAGTGGGTGGTTTAGCTCACATTAGATTCATCTCAGGATGCGCTATGCATCTACGTACTTACGATTCTATGTGATTTGTGAGTACGTAGTTGCATGGCGCATACTGAGATGAATCTAATGTGAGCTAAAACTACTAAAAAAAACTTAATTATACTGTCAGTTAACCATTCTGATTTTTCGTGGTGCTATTTACACCTCTGCGCTGCTCGGTTTTGACTGAGATTAGGAAAATCAGGGATCAATCGATATGTATCTGATAGCTCATCAGTGTTGCAATGTAAGGCCGCAATCTTAATGCCACAGCCTCACTGAATAATACTGACAATGACGAGTTTTTTCTGAACATTTATGGTAATAAAGTCATAAAATCGTAACTGTAGCAGATGTATAATGTAGATGTGCAACATATCTAAAAAGAGAACAGTAGAGAAAGGGCTAAGAAAAAAACAATCTGTAGAAAGGACGTGATCAGAGATCTACTTTAGAGTACACTACCGCGAAAATCACTTTTTTTCCCACGTATGCCTTATGAACACGTAATGAACTTATACCTATACTTCGTAAAATGGATCAATCGCAAACAAAAAAGTAACACTGCATAAGGAATTTCCAGTGAACAAGCGCATTAACTACAAAGGAACAGATTACCAAATACAATAACTGTTATAAGTAACTCGTAAATACCCGATAGTGACAAGTCAAAAAATAGGAAATGTGAGAAAACGTGGCTTCATCATACGTCATTATTATATTTTAACACAGAGCAGGTAACACGATAAACGGAAAAGCGCCCGTCATTTTCCCGGTAATCCTTCACACGTTAATACTCTCAGCTGACAAACTTTACTCTAAATTCCTGATATGGGGTAAGCGTCACTGCGTACTATATTTGAACGTGGCGACTGATGCGCCTTTAAGAAACATTTTCTTTTTGAGACAGTGAGTGTCAATGAATAGCAGACGCCAGTAATAACGTCAGATGATGAAATCGATTTATCTGAAAGGCATCCAGCTTCTGCCATTTGGCTTGGGACAGCATGATCTCTTTTCAAAGCTTCGCTAGCTTGCACTACAAAATGTTGAATAAGTAAAGCTAACTAGCCAGTTGGATTAGCTAGGAAGTTAAAGCCATAAAGGATTCGTTCCAGCTGCCATGCAGATCAAGGAGCCTATAGTGGTGACTACGTGAATGAAAGGACGAGTGAAAAACGGGGAGCTTTGGAACAGTTGCCAGACATAGTGAAGGAGTGTGGCGGCACATCGTCTGACACTCTTCAAATTCGCCTCTGGTTTCTAAACTAAATCGTGGGATGAGCTTGTAGCCCTGGATTGTATGGTACCAAGGGGTCGCGGTCATTCTTTGCGACATGGAGGAATATGTCGAAGATTAGGAGAACCTGCGCCAAAAGAGTGAATGGAAAACGATTGAGACTCTTACCGGCGAATCGGTGGAAAATCAGAATAACGATCTTCAGAAAAAAAGGAGGTCGAAATAAAAAAAACAGAGGCAATAGATTCTCCTAACCTCCTACTCTCCCGTGTCACAAATTATGAACGCCACTTCATGTGAGTGCGCAAAAGAAGTCACCATGCAGGCCTTTTCTCCTGATTTTTAGTATTCGGGTTGATATCGCTCCCTCGATAGCTTCACTTCCAGAGGGTCTCTCTCATTCCAAACTGCCATCCTTACGGAGAATTTATAGGAAGCTCTGAGTACTGTGATGGGATTCTAGGGAATCTGTGTAGTTCCTGATACAATCGAAATGAATTTTGTAGAACAAGTTATTACCTAATCACATTTCCCACTCGAAATTATCATCGGCACCGAAAGAAGTACCACTAGATCGACTCTTCTGTTGCCATGCAGTAAGTCGTCCCTTGAGAACTTCATCCAATATCAAGTCTCCCCATAGATGTAGTAATGGAGCCTTCGAAACAGGTTTCGACTTCTTGCTGAGGGACTTTCGTGGGATTTCGCACGCCCTCATCATTGCTCTATCCCCGTCAATTTCCTCATCTCCGTCTTCAGCATCCATGTGAGCACTAGTGTCACCTAGAATGAATTATATTATAGGGATGGTAGCGTTCATATATACTCTGCTCACCCAGTTCCGTAACGATATGCTTTTGAGTGTTGTAGACGGTTTTCATTGCCGACTTCGTCCATTCGGATACTTTATAAAAGAACGATTTCGAAAACATGGCCAACTTCAATAGTTTTGACCACCGCACTAGGTCCTAAAAACCCTCGGACAAGTAGACAATAATGAAGTAAATATAAGTTCAATTTGGCTACACTAACCACTTACCTCGAGTTTTAGACCTGTGGTGATTGCTGAAACTGCTGCAACAACGTTTCCTTTGAACATGCGTTCTCTTGAATGAGCAACGACTCGCTCTTGACTTTCCCACCTTCTCACAGGCATTGAACGGGCGCAACCCTCGCACTCAAATTTGACGACTGCCGCGGTTCCAACCGCTCTCAGTTGCTTCCTTTCCACTCGCTCGCCACATTCAGGACAGAATCGGAACAGCGTCATCAGAAGTGCACCTTGCACGAGGTAGTACCTCTGCAAATCAGCTTCGTCCGTCTCTCCAACGCGATGTATCACTTGTTTAGGCTCGCACCTTGAATCTTTATCAGGCTTGTGTTCGGGCACCTAAAATGATTTTTTACTGTATTCTAAGAAGATAGACGTTGTATTTATAGAACCTCCGCTCTCAGAACAGAGTGCTCGTCGCCGCATTCTACACGTTCTTCAGCCATGCTGATATCTCCTCCAGAAATCGGTTCGGCTTTGATCAAAGGTTCTACACGTTCTTCAGCCACGCTTATATCTCCTCCAGAAATCGGTTCGGCTTTGATCAAAGGTTCTACGCGTTCTTCAGCCATGCTTATATCTCCACCAGAAATCGGTTCGGCTTTGATCATAGGTCCTTTCGCAGAGCCTGGTTCGATCTTAACCAATGGCTGTTCATCAGCATCCACTTCAACTTTAAATAAGGGAGCTGGAGGTTCTCCAGTTTCATTGGGAACAGCTTTCCCGAACATCTCCTAAAAATTCAAATATTGCGTGAATAATCCCTTAAAGGTCGTCTCTTAACCTCCTCTCCTCCACTCTGTTCAGGCCACAAAGAACAGTCACGATACCTCTTCAGAGCGTCATTCAAGAACGCCCATACATCTCGAGCGCTGATAATAACATGTCCCTACAATTTTTGACTTTGTAGGGGTGTCCCGATAAAGAGCATAGAAAAGTCTTACGTTAGTCATGCCGTTGATTGTGTCAACTAGGTGAGACGGAATATCCGCGGTGCTCACGTATGGACTACTTTTTCCTCCATCGGGATCTACGCAATACGACAAGCGACATCCACTGGCTGCCAACTCAGCACATACATACTGGGCCTGCTCGTAATAAATGCTATCAGAACAAAACACCAAAAAAAAACGCATCGGTGGTCCAATATAAGTCTTTAGTCCAATAAGTTACCTTCTAAGGCATGCGTCGTTCCACTACTCCCATTGTTGGGAGGGGTGGAGGTGAAAAGTTTCGAGGCAGGTAGACCAAACTCCACCACTACCGGTAGAGAACCGCCACCCAAACGCGTCCGATTCATTATAAGTTAGTGGGGGTGCACACGTAATATTAGAATCTCGCGGGTGCATACTGGAATCTGCGCCCAAAGCGCTAATTGTGCCTGAGCGCTGCAATTTGGGTAGGTGAAAATTACACTAAACGATCTACGTTTGGATTTGCTTGAAAATTCCTGGCCCGTGGATGGATCTCGAATGAGCAATGACGGAATGTAGAAAAGGGTTCAAAAAATAGATAGAAATAAAAGGTAGAAATGAAATGAATCAAAAGAAATAAAAAGAGGCGAATGAAAATGCAGTCCTTTTCATCTAGATCCGAGAATAATTTGTTACATCAGCTAGTATCCTGCTCTCATGCTAGCGCAGCGAAACATGCTGTAGCGCAGCGAAACATCAGTGCCTAACCGGAGCAGATCTATAAAGCAAGGTTCAGATGAATACTCTGAAAGATGACATCAAACGTCAACTGGTTAGAAACAGACTCCATGACGACATTCGGTCATGCAGTTGTGCTAACTACACGAATGGGAAAGTTGGGGCACACAGAAGGGGTAATTCACCAGCTTGACTGTTCTGCATCTAAAGCGCTGCATATCAAAGATACGGAGAGAGTACTACGCATTAAGCCTTTGCATTCTTCGAGAGGCTCACAAGGTCGCAATTTTGACGTTGACGGTATGCTCCACGTTCAAAAATGGTGAGTTGTGCGGCTCTACTACTTATGACGAGATGGCAAGTAACATAAAAGTGGAGAAAAAAAGCAGAGAACCTCACCCCTTCCCAAAATGCCTTATATCGAACCCCATGCGGAACCGCGTCAGTCCGCGCTTGAAGCGAAGAAAGGGCGTGGGCAGACGAATATCCATTCGTGGTGTTTCCTTTCTTGCTCACCACCTCACTCTTACTATTCGAAATGGGGAGAGCTGGTAGCGGAACAACCGCAGACCAGGAAACCTTCAGAAAGCAAAATGGGTATTGAGGTGGCTAGTGGGCGGGGTAGTGTAGTGGCCAGCAAACAGCGTGTAGGCTTCGCCCGTATTTTCTAGCTGCGTAGCGCTTTCCTCACGTATTTTTAGCTGCGTAGCGCTTTCCTCACGTATTTTTAGCTGCGCAGGTGGCACATCCCACATGATTTCGGACAGGACTATTTTAACCAAAGAGAGCGTTTGAACATCAAATGAGCGGAGCGTGCCTTTGAGGCTTAAAAATGGCTACATCGTGAGCCGTCACCGGCAAGACCTGCCATCAGCACTGTCGCCTAAACCCGGAAAAAATGCCGGACGAGTTTTACGGGCGCAAGTCGTCCACTTCGTTGTGCCACGCGTCCCTTTAACTTCATTTGAATTAGGATACTTCAATAAGAGCGGTTTTTTTGCGAGATTATCGCTTTTGTGCGTAATCATAGTTAATATTTTCGAGATCTGCTTCTGCTTCGATTAGGAAACACATGAAACCTGAGGTGCAACCGGAAACTTGAGCATACCAACTGCATCTTCTGTTTTCTAGGGACATCCCGTCGGGTGCCACCATTTTTAGAAGTTCTGCCACTCAGCGTTGGATTTCAGCGCAGGAAGATATCTACAACCTATCTTCGGTATTCTGTGCACACAACCGCTGTTATAAGAGCTGTTTGTTAGATGTCCGGCGGACGAAAATTTCCGTTTGACATGTGTGTTTGGAGACACTTTTGACTCGCTCAGTTTTAGAGGGCTCTCAAGGGAAAGAACTGTTGAGTTCAGGAGAACAACAACAAAGTCTCTGTTAGATCTAGATTCATACTGCAATTCTTCACAAGCCGCAATGGTAAACGAATTCCAGCAAAAAATAACCACAATGTTTTAAATGCAGCTGGAATGGAGAAGAGTACTGCTGCGTGGAAACGTGAATTAACTCCCTCAGGATCACTGGCGGATGTTTATGCTTCGAATCAACCGCAGTATAGTTCACAACATAAAAACGCTCTTACTTGTGTTCTCCCACCCCCTTCTGCAGGTGAACGAGAGCAGCCCGAGTACATACATGACTGCTGGAGCCATTCTTACTCATGCGGAAATCCGGAACCTAACCACAAGCCAAAAGCAGTATGCACTTACCAAAGCACGAAACCGGTAAGTCAGTATCCACTTTCATCAGCCTTTCGAAGCAGAAGCAGATCTCGAAAATATTAACTATGATTACGCACAAAAGCGATAATCTCGCAAAAAAAAACGCTCTTATTGAAGTATCCTAATTCAAATGAAGTGAAGAGACGCGTGATCTCACAACAAAGTGGACAACTTGCGCTCGTAAAACTCGTCCCGCATTTTTTCTGCGTGTAGGTTTAGGCGACACTGCCTCAGGAGTGCCGTCTCGTCCTTCTCGGCCCATCGCGTTCCCTGAACACGACAGGACGGATCCCTCGATGTCGTCTTGCAACTTATATCACACTTAACGGTGCGGTTGTTGGAAGACGTTCTGGACTGAACGGGGTGAAAATCCTGCTTACATGAGGAATGAAAGGGGCTGTGCGGACTTATATTGGACCAGGGCCACGTTGCATTAAACTTACCGCTTCTATTACGTGGGAGTGACAAATACATCTCGATATCCTGCTGATCGTCTCTACCATGGCGTCCACGTTCGCCCTATCCACAACTCCGATTAGTGACAGCGATGCGATCATCACGAGATTACGATTTTTCGACGCACTGCACATTTGCTTCATAGTGCTGAGATCGTCAGAATGCCCACAAAGAGAGCAAGACCGCCTCATCCTGTAACATGAAGCTTAACTTTCGCACGTAAAGTGTTTGTTTCGTCCAAGGCCACAAAAAGAAGGTAGTTTCTTACCAATGAAATGGAGCATTTTAGTACAGAGCACCTTGCGCATTCACAGCCACGACAAACTTCCTTAGTTGAGGAAGTGGACCGTGATAAGTAACGATCGTGAGCCAAGGCATGAAGATCTTTGCCAGAGGGAAGAACTCACTTCTTCTTGAGCTCAGGCATGAAAGAACCTCGTTTGCCTTGACCCAAAATCAACCTCTCGCATTTTTCATCGCTGGATTTCGTTCAATACAGAAAAAAAGTACTGAGGGAATGACTCGAAACAAAGCTGAAAGCTTCTTGTGCAAAAATGCGATTACAGTACTCTGACGAGCATTTGCACAACATGCTCCAGTGTTTTCGACCAGCCCCAGGAGAGTCGGTGTGGAGCAGGGCATAGCATCTTTACGTGAACCCCTGGGATGTTCTGATTGGTCGCTGTATGGGGGAGAGTATTTACTTTGAGAAAAAACTTTTCCCGAGCCGCGAAAATGTTTTTCCAGTAACTGACTTTCCTCGGGTCTTACCTTGCACGCCCGCAGAACTACGAAACAAGTGGTAGTTTTGATAGCTGATTTAGTAGCTGGCTGACGACCCACTCCCCTGAGAGCCGTTTTTTGAATCCTGTTTTGAAGTGAAAAATGGAAGTTTCTGGAAAGAGGTAAGCTGGTGGGACAACATAGGGAGGAATAGAAGGAAGTTTAAAATATTGGAGAAAAAAAGTGAAACTCGTGTCATTTTATAGCTTTACAAGAGCTAACACGATTTTACTTAACGGTCTGATATTTTCACAGGACTTGATAAAAAGCGGCGGTGTTTGTCGACAGGGGGGCATTTTGCACTTTAACGACTTCCCATCGACGTGTCGACCCATTTACACCTCGCCTCGAGTTGACAGGTTTTACCATGATGGCTTGACGAGCTTGCTCCAGCTTCACAAGAGTTCACAGGTTTCACCAGAGTGAGACTTGTAAACCAGTAGTGAAGCAACGAAAGTGCAAAATGCCCCTCCCCCGTCGGCAAACTGGGCCCAAAAAGCACCTCCATTTTAGATATACGCAGCTTTTGCAGAAAGGACCGTACGCGTACAAACTGTTGAATGACCGTGGAAAGAAAACACATCGCACAACAACCCGAGTGGGGAAAACCCAGATTGCCATGCACAATTGCGTGGCAAGGACAGAATGAGTTTGTGATTTGTGGGTGGGCGCGCCTAGTGTTTGGCATAGACGCCCCTCGATCGATAGCCAGTAGCCACTTTTCTACACAGCGTAGGGAAAAACCGCGGAATCGGAGAAATCGGACTAAAATGTGAGATGGGGACTAGTTACACAGCACATACTTCTTTCTAAGTGATCGGAGAATCCGCGAAAAGAACCAAAGGCAAATATCGATTTCGTCGGCTCCGCCCAAGCGCAGAGGTGGCGAAGGCGCAAGGTGTGCGACGGAGTAGCAATCGTCAGCGGCTCATCACTAGTTAAGGATTTCGGTCGCGTCCGTACAACTTCCTTCCCTAGAGGGTGGCTCCCCCCCCAACCCTCTCTGATCGAGCTGTCGAGCGGAAGGGGTTACATTGCACGTGAGACGGGAACAGTTGCGAGGAAAATACGACCTCTCTCCCATCATACCTACCACTTCCTTAGATTTTCGCGAACTTCATTGCGTGTCCACAGGAGACAATGGCCAGGGCAGGCACATCATTGGTTGGGGAGTCCATGCGACCCCCCCCCCCTGGCGCCCTCTGTACCTCCTCATCGAATCGAGTCAAGGGTGAAGGGGGGGGGAACCAACTGACAAAATAAATTTTTCTCGGCCCAAATACGACTCCCCCTCCTGGCGGCCAAATATGACCCCCGTTGGGGATTGGGGATTCACAATCAACGATGTGCCCTCCCACGGGGGCCTTCTGCGTGGTCAGCTATGGAACGAAGCCCATGCAGAACGGCGCCCACAGGGAGAACAATTATTGTAGTGCGGTGAGTAGTTCGTTAATAAATAATGTAGACAATTGAATATTCTCTTTGTTGTTATAATGGTTTGTACCATGGAGGTTT